TTTTTATTTCACCTATTATATTTCATCAAATATATAATATCGATATATATTGATTTTACATCTTTACTTTCCGGTCAACCCAATAGTAATCAATATATACTGTATAATTATATTTTTTACCGCAAGTATGATATCTAGTAATATCCAATATTATATCGATTTATGTCAATCCGTAGTTTATTCCATTAACTTACCTTTTTCTATACATGTATGATCACTTTTCGTAATCAACTTTAATCGTCGAGTTCTAAATGAACAAAATACATATATTTCCTTTTACATATTTAAACAATGCCTAAGCCAGCCTTCCGGAACGACTATCCGTTGACGCTCTAAATATTTATTTAGCAGACGTAATCTTATAAATGGCTCTTCACTCCAAAAAGGTAAGCATTAAACCAATCTACAAAATAATTATCTTAATTCTATACAACAAATGTATATCTCCCAATGTTGTAGTGTAGCGTTTCTCAACCTTTTTACCGCGCGTCCCAACGTATTTCTCTGTGATCTAACACGACCCATAGGTTGAGAAACGCAGTTGTGGAGGATGTATTTTAGGATAAGGATATTAAAATAATACATATGGACAAAAAAATATTTTTTTAAGAACAATAGCAGTATAATATGTATTATTATATCAATGTAATTCATATACTTCCACCCAAATATACAAATTGTGATTAATGTAATCAGTAAGATATATTATATTTTTATTAATACATGTGCAACATGACCATCTCTAATATTCAATATATATGTATAAAAAGGAAAGAAAAATTATAACAAAACAAATTCGTAAATAAACGAACTGCAATCATTTTAAGTAAAAAAAATCATGACTAAAATCGGCTTTACAATTAATATATCAATAAAAAATAGTTCATTTTCATAAAAAATAAAAAGTACACAGCCTACAGCTAATATTGCAATCACCATGCCTCACTCCCAACTGAACAAAATACAAAACAATACGTCACAATTATAAAACGGAAATTAAAATAGGTTGTTATCTAAGCAATCGTAATAATTAAATATTCATAAATTATTTTGTTCGTCAAGACAACCAATTTTACTAATACAAAAAATAATAATAAAAGAAAACAGGTAAATTAGCGAGTTTATACAATATAATTTAAGATTCTCTTGTTGTTTTCCTTTGGAAACATATATTTTTTTTACATCGCAAGATTTTAGGTACAATATTTTGATTATATAAACTATATATTTGTTTTTACAAAAATTATTGTCATTAAATATGCTGTCCGTAAAATGTGTTCAAACACCAAGAACGGCGAGAAAACTAAAGTACGTTCTTTAAATCTCAAATTAAATTATATAAATGACAGTGGAACGAAGTCGGAGGACTAAAATTGACGCAATTCAAACGTCAGCAAAACTTTTTTTCAATGTTTATCAGTGGCAGATTAAGCACTTGAGAGGCCCTATGCACAATTTAATTGTGAGGCCCTGTTCTAAATATTTCCAATTCAAATATTAATTTAAAGAATGATGATGGAAGTATCGGTTTTGAAGTGCCGCATTAAGTTTGTCGTGGGCTCAATATCTTAAAATGACGACCTCTTGATTTAAGAGGCCAGAGACGCGCGCCTCCTGTGCGATAATTCGCCACTAATGTTTAGACTATTTAAATAAAGCAACAACAAAAAAAAAACGAACAAACATATCTGGTAAGAAAGTACAAAGCAGGAACATGAGTTACACAGGATGTGTTGTCAACTGATGAGCATAATTCTGGTTCTTTCCTGAGTCATTCGAACAAACTAAAAATGAACGGCTCATAAAATAAATCATCCTGTATGTAACATAAGAAAAGCAAAAGCTCTATTGATCATAAAATGTCTTTAATTTCCATGAAATAAAGTTCTAAGACGACAGTGTTCATGAAACATCTGTATACATTATATTAAAAGAAACAAATACATTCGCCTCAATGGAATTAAGAATATATATTTATGTATGTAATACACATTACATAAATATATATGTAATATATATTCTTCGCTTATAGCTCACATTGATTTTGGTTTTTTAAAGAACAAATATAATTATAATATGGTAATTTCAATAAAGCCGTCATTAGTAGTTTCAAAGTAAAACAAATTTCGATGGATCAAAAAAAACAGTGGACTTATTCACGGTCAGCTCAACGAATCGATGAACAAGCATCGGCGGCAAGGTTAACTATGATCGGTACTGTCTACATCTAAGTGTGAAAAAATAATAATTTCTGCCGAATCAAATCTGCATTACTCTTTGTATTCAATTCATTTGTTCTGTACTCATTTCAATCGACGGATTAATGCAATTTCCCGCCGCGAAAATCACAACGCCAGTTATTATTTTACCTAAATTCATACAAAATAGAAATCTCTTTTGCTTTTTCGCTTTTGTATATATATAATATATAATTTCTTTCTTTTCAACTTCTCTTTAGCCCAAGATTATTCAGCCATAACAAAATTAAATACTTTTCTTGGATAATATATATAACAAAAATATATATACCTCCTCTTGTGTAACATCCTTTTTTTTTTCTTTTAGCTAATCTCTACTCTTCTTTTTTTTTATTCTTTTTTTAAATGAATATAAGAAATATACTTTCGTATACGATTAATATAATATTTATAATCTTTTAGATTTTCCTCGTGAATTAATCAATTAATATTAAATATAAAATTATATTTACGCATTACACATAGACTGCTTTCGTCCATTCTCTTAAATACATATAATATTTTTAATATAGAAATATCATCTATGATACTCATCGGTTATTACGCAATAAGATTAAATAATTATTAATCCTAATAGTGATCATTTTTTTAAAGAAACAGAAACAACCGACTAAGAATAAATATAATAAAAAATAAATATATATATTTTTTTAGATATATCGGATTAAGCAAAATATCTAGTAATAAAATAAACAAAACATGCATTTTCAAACAAATGCTTACCATAGTTCAAAGGTACCTCCAGTTATAAGAAAACCTGGCTGCCTTCAATCCGGAAAATAGAAAATGTAATTTGAAATGATGGTAAGTGAATATAAATTGACCAGTTTTCTTATAAGCAACAGGACTCTTCGAGTTAGATCAACTGATAACATTGATATACCAATCACACACAGTATGATTATGTTACAGACAGGCAGACAAATGTGCAAGCTCTGCCCCACAATATAATTAATTATATTATTATATATTTGTTTTAAATATTTAAAATAAAAAAACAAGACCTGGACAGTTACGATGTACATTTGCGTCCAGGGTTCCAATAAAACTGGAAGTAATCATCAATCAATAAACTTTACCATATTTCCTTCAATCCAAATACATGTATATAAATAGTTTGTATCAATTTCCTTCCTTCCCTATCAAATTTCAATAAAAAATCTCATACCGCCTCCTGTGTGCCGCCCGAAAATCCTATTGTTTCAATTCACAGCACACTTGCAAATTTAATTTATAGCACCATAGTCAAAATAAAATGATCGATATTAAATTACACTACTACATAGGCATACGTAGTGGCGCGCAGTATTGCTCACCACGAATGCTTCGTCTCCGACCCCAAAAATTGTAGTGTAAAGGAAAGTTTTGAACCCATTGGGTTTAATATTTACTTATCCTCCTCACTGCTCCACCTCTTCTCCTGCTTGTCGAGCTCCTCGTCCCACATCAGCTCCAATTCTTTCATGTCGTTTGCGATTCCCTCTTCGTAAGTAGCATCATCTTGATAGTTTTGATTTAATGTAGAAACGATGCGATTCTACATTGTCAATGTCAACGGAAAGAAGTAACAAATTAATACATAACGTAACACCATGAATATCGACTACTCACCAAGCAGGCCTCTTTCTGTCGCTCTTGAATTCCCTGTTCAATTATTTGTAATTCCTGTGTCAAAATGTCTCCTTCGTTTTGAGGCGTTACTCCCTGCGTAGCCAATTTTAAATCGTTCAATTGCTTTTCCAAATTTTTTAATTGCAATTTTACCCTCTGCGATTCAGCCATCAATTCTTTTGAAGGATCTTGCATACTTCTAAAAAACAATTGCTGAGAACCTGAAAATAAAAAATGAACCAATAGTAAATGAATCCTAATATGCTTGTATAATGTATATACATATGTGCTTACTAATATGATTTTGCTCAATAAAAAACAATATCGCTAATCAATGTCATCATCATTCTCCTGAATATAACATTCTTATTGAATTAAATTCCATTTACAAATATTATTGTTGATCCTAATATTTATTAGAGAATTTATGAGGTGGCACGAAATACTCTTGTTGCATATTTGAAAATTATTGGATTTTGGTAGAAATCGAACAATCAAAATCGAAACAGTGATTTGGTAGAAGGTAACGAAAGTGTTGTAATAATAAAGAAAAAAAATTGTAACTTACGCTTACCGATGGTAATATAACCATCTCCCATGTTTGTAGGTGGAGCGCCCATGAGCGGATGATGATGACCAGTTATTGCAGCTTGTTGATGATTGAAAAAAAATGGTGTAACTGGACTAGCAGCTGAAACCGGTCTTCTTCCCTGCAATCCAAATAAAAACATTTGAAATTCAGGTTTCTGAATATTAGCAATTTATAATATTACCAAGGATGCCGTGATCGAACCATCTCGGAAAGATGCTGGAACTTGCACACTTTGGTTCATACTGACGTTGTCTTTGTGCATTCGCGATATCGGTCCATATTTGCTGACGCACGGAGCATCGTAAGGTACATAGTCGTCATCTGCAAGGATGGAATCTGAACGTACGAAAGTCGGACCTGGGTTGATGCTGGTGAAGAAGCTATACGGGGACGTGGGGCTGTCCAGATCGTGAGCTGATTCCTGCCGGGCGAAATTCGAAGCCGAATTCGAGATCGCCGTAGCCTTATTCTTCCCAACAACTTTCTCCAATTGCGAAATCACTTCCTGTTTTCTTTGCTTTAGGTCAGCCAACTTTTTCATAGTCATCATTTCGCGCACCTTCGGCTGATTATTGGCTATTTGTGGCGCTTTGCTCATCTGAAATCGCAGTAACAATGTTAAGATGCGTTGAAGACATGATAGTAATTCCAACTAATTTACCATTTGCTCCCAGTTCAAATAGCCATGTTTGGGCATCTCTGTGTTTTGATTTGCAGTGGGTGGACCACCTTCAAAATCTGTTTGTGTATAGTATTGGCCTCCATTGGCCAAGACCATTGTGTTGTTGTGAGATGGAGCAGTAGGGTAGACTTCCGGTGGATAGTTCGTGGTTGGTGTGTAAATGGTTTGTGGTGCTGGATACGGTCCATTTGTCGGGAAGTTTGGGTTTGGAAACGGCACGTCGTAGCTTACCCTCGGGATTGAAACGACTGCCGGTAAATTCACAGTCGGATTACTCGCTGGAAATGGATAATAATCATCAAATTGATAAACACCGTCTATCGGAGATTGTTTGTCCAAACCATGTTCTTTGTTTCGCAAACTCGCTTTCCTATTTTTCGCTCTATACCTTAAACAATATGTCATTAATTAAAAAATGTCACCCGAAATGGCAAAAATTCCAAAATTATACTTTTCCAGTTCTTCGTGAGAGTGTGCGAACGTGCAGTTAGTGCTTCTCGGACAGATTCCTCTGAGCGATAAATCTCGACACATGCTGATCTTATATTTGGAGTGTTGCGTGAGCACAGGATCTTGAACCTTTCTACTTCCATGCTGATGAATGAATTCCACTAAACCAGCTACTACTTTTTTAACTGCATCCAGTGATTCACTGCAATCTTTCCATGATGGTGTAGTCGATTCTAAATAAGAAATTTACATGACTTACAATTACTAAAATTTCCATTAACTATCATTATACCTGAACTGGAATCTATTTTGGCTAATAACTCCAAATCCGGTCTCAGAACAGATAATTTCCCAGGATCACCGGTTCTCTGCAATGCGATTACTAACTCTTGAACAGATTGTGCAAAAGATTGTGGAGTTTGCAATTTATCGATGATACTCTGCATGTGTGACTTGTGGGCAGTGTCACCATAGAGTAGCGCTGACCACTGGTCAGGTGCAATTCTTAAGCCGGCCTCTGTTGCGATCTGTACAATTTGCGCATCATGTTCACGTCTAAGAGCCTCGTAAGTTCTAAATTCCTCTTTTAATTGCATCAAAGATGAATCACCGTCGCGCTTTGAAACCTGAAAATTATAGAGAATATATTATAGATTACAATTTATCAACATTTATGGACTCTTATCAAGTATAGGAATACATAAAAACAACGGGTTTCCCTATCGCAGTATATCAAGGAACAACCTAAAAACAATTTCCTGTTCCACAATTTGTGATAATTAAACCATAAGTTTATATATAGTTTGCCATATGCTTGAATATAGATAAAACAAACCAAGCCCAGTTTATTTTCTTTGAGCTACTTAATAAACAATGTTATTACCTTGAAGCATGATGCTCTGTATAACAATTGGACAACATGCCCTATGCTAGTTTTTGAAGCCTGTGCAAAATGGGGTTCCAATCTTTGCACAACAAACATTACCAAAACTTTTCTTGAAAGAGCTGATCCATCCTCCAAAGCCAATAAAACCAGTTTCAAAACATCTTCTTGCATTGCTAAAAAATATATAAAAATAGTGTATATGACAATAGAAGATTATTAAATTATCATTACCTGGCCCAAGAAACTGACAACCCCTGGCCCTAACTGCAGCCCATAAGTTTGCAGAAAGTTGTTGTGGGTTCTGATGTTGTAATATTAATTCTGTAACTGTTCTTTCTCCTAAAGATCTTGCTGCCCTCATCGCTCTGGTTCTTCCCTCATCTTCAACCAATTGGCAATTGATTAAAGTAACTAATTTTCTTTGCATTGGCCTAGTTAGAAGAGCAGCACTCCCACATATGTTCCCATTAGAAAATGGTTTTAAATACATGGCCAACTCCTCCACACACTTTTTCGATGACATATATAAGGCAGCATTTTCCCGGGATACAATTTTTGAATCTAGCACTTCATCATTGTCAATCTTATTGGAACTGCTTACTAATTGCAGAAGTGCTGTATTTATTGGTAGACTTTCAATGTCAATACTTATTATAGTCTGGTCAAAGGGACACTGTTTTCTATGTAAATTTGATAGGCATGCTTTGCATATTGTATGGCCACATCCCAAACTGATGGGGCCTCTGAGTGCAATGTCGAACTCATTGCAGCAAACTGGACATGACAAGAATTCAGTCCACTGAGGAGCCTGAATTGGCATTCTGTAAATCACAATGAAATATTGTAGAATGATTACATGAGATGTGGTAATAATGGAAAGTTTAAAATTGTTGATCTTATTGACCTTTCACCCCATTTAATGGAGCAATCTATTTATGCTCCTCATTTACAAAAGAACGATTTAGCTGAACATGGATAAGAAAAGTGATGATGATATTTAAATTGAGTTGTCAAAATCAGGTGATGACTGCTGTCTATGCCACCTGGACACATATTTTTTCAATTTGCAAGTGAAAATTCCAATACAAATACAATTGTGCATGGACGAATTATAAGAAAACTTTGAACTTACTTTTTTGTCAAGTTGTTAACTTATTTCACATTATGCACGATTTATAAACGACATCACAACATTGTTGTGAAATTGTTCGAGAACTGTCAGACGAAAATGACAAGATTTGGAGGTGAGTGCACCGAATCTGCCACAACGTTGTCGATTTCCTTCTACGTAGTTGACGATCGTTGATGATTATTCGCTGTTTTCCTTAGAAACGACAACGTAGCACCTGAGAAATGTCAAGCACATCGTGGTCATTTTGGTTGCATAGATTCCAAGAAAATCTTCAATGTTGCATAAATATGAAAAATAAATAAAATTACAATAATCTACGCGAAAAAATATCTTTAGATAAGCAATATGCTTTTATATTTTAATTAGTTAGTATTTCAGCTCTTGTATTGTTGGTTGCTTTAGTTTTTTTTTGTCATGTATGCAACACGCAATGTACTCTCATAACCAAAAAAGTCAACAATAACATAAAAGGGGATCGCAAATCATAATAACTAAGGTAAAACATTAGAATAACAATTTATAACGGATTATCTTAATTTCAATGCAATTTAGATGAGTCAAGAGGTGAAGAAGAAACTTGAGGAGTATCAAGACTTCTTGGAAAACACACTGAAAGTGGATTTGAAAGAGATTGAGGGAAAGTTGAATGCAACTGCTAATGAATTGGAGAAGTGGATTAAGCTGAAAAACTTTACAAGCAAAATATTGCCTAGTTATAGGGATAATGTCAAATTTGATTTAAATGTTTACAATAGAATAGTTGAGATGGAGGAGTGTGAAATGTTTGTTCGTGCAACAGTTGAAGATTTCAATAAAGTCTATATTGATATAGGCTGCAATTGTCTGCTGCAAATGGACCTGGAAGAGGCAACAAAATATGCAAGCATTAGGATTCGGGTGATTGAGAAGAAGATTGTGCATTACTCTGAGTTAGCTGTTAAAGTGAAAGTTAATATCAAGGTTGTGTTACTGGCAATTCAGCAGTTAGATCCATTATTAAATTTGAAACTTAAATAAAATTGTTAGGATAGGTTTTTGTTTTATTAATCTTTATTCAAATAATAATTAAGCTACACAACATTGTGAACACCATTTAAATGTTTATTGTATATATCTATATATAAACTATTGTAGAAAACTAGCAGACTACATATAAAATTAGACTGTTGTGAGCATAACAAATGTTCCATATCTTAATACATATTTTTATTTTAAATTCTATCTACAGTAGAAACATGTCTAATTAAATTTTGCTTCTTTTAAACCAGTAAGATTTTTATAACAACATTTTTTTTGGCCATTTTGCTGCATATTTTATTTGTTAAGAAATAACTACTTTTTATTTACAACGAGGTTTAAAATGTCATATCACTTGACTTGACTAAATGATATAAGTATTTTTTTTTTCGTTAATAAAGTCAACATACGAGTCTATATTGTGTAAACGAGGTTTAAGTACACATATTAAAATATGGATAAAATTTCTTGTTGCACGAAAGCAGCAAGCAGACTTCTCTTGTTTGTTCATTTACGACATTCGTCAGCGTCACATCTCAACGAAATTGTTGAACATTTTAGTTTTCTATTTTGATTGGAGTACTTTGTGCTTGGATTTGCTTTGAGATGTGTCGCTGACACTCCAGCAACTCCAACGACTCTTTTGAAAAGATGACGAGTAAGCTGCGCACTGCATTAAAACTTTATTTTGCTTCAAAATGTTATTATTCCTCCGGTGAATATATAGGCCATTTGGAAACATGCACCGCCTGCACCTAGGATTCAGCAGGATTAATGAAAATTATAATTTATAATTACATTACTTCGATCTGGCTGCATAAATATTCGCGGTATTGAATATCATTTAAGAAAAAATACAAAATAATACTAATATTTGTAATGTATATACGAAAGAAATTGGATATATTTAGGTCTAAACTAATTGTTTAAATTGTAAATTAAATATTTGTCATTGATATTAAATTAGTTTCTATGTTGTTTTTTTCTCACAATAGTTATATAATTATTATAGATATGAACTGGTAACGTGAAGTATTTTCTTGAATATTTAGTATCACACATTCTATTAACGATTATAAAAAGTTGCGCTTTTAGAGTACAATAAGAGTAATGTTAGTTATTTATTCACAGACACTATAAAAATATATTATTTTTAATTTTTCAGAAATATTTTATTAATTGTTTTCCTCTTAATAACAGTTACTTGGATATTTTATAACCAAGCATTAAAATTTAGAAGCTATCTTTCTTTAATCATTCATCATCTACAAAATCATAAATTATCTTTAAGCGCAGTTTTCGAAGATTGTCCTAATATAATTCAACAACTATAGACTAATTACTTTTTTTTATATTGGAATGTTTTTGTATCTTCACTTTTCCGACGACGCAATGATTTTAATTGAAAAACTTAACAAGAATAAAAGATTTATATATTTATAATCATCTCTTTATAAATATTATTGCAATGATGATATTTTTATATTAACAGCTTTTAAATATTATGTTTTTGATATTACATTATTATAGGAATATATTAATAGATTTTAAGGCAAAGTGTATTCGTAGTCGATACAATTCAAAATAATCAATGTAGAAAGTATTTGATTACAGAAAAATCCAAGTTATTAATTTAATATTAAATATCGACTATAATTGCATTATTTTTTAAATTGTATGGTATTATTTTGAAAAGTACTTAATTACTAACTCACTTTGCATTACCTTAAGAATTATCAACAACCTTTGCTTTCTATTTTATAACGTGTAGACTGTTGTAATAAATACTCTTACTTCCTATTTCATCTACGGCCTATAAAAAATAAAGATGTTTTACGACTCTTTTAAGTATCAGAACGAATATTTGAATATGAGATTTGCAAATAATTTGATTGTTTTATCGCGTTGCCTAATAAGTTGCCTAACAACGTTGCCACTCGAGTGCACTTTTGAGCAATCCATGTATCAATAACAAACAAAATAGACGTAATTTTCCTCCTTTACTTTCGATATTCGAGTACACGTGATTTTTAAATATAAAATAAGGCAACTTATTCTGATGCAATTTGTGTGTCATACACGTATATAAAAATCATCACATACAAATTAATGGATAATATTCTTTTTAATATTTTTCTTGTTACTATTTCGTTGCATTTTTTTTCCTTTTAATATATTGTTTTCTATTGATCAGAAACTATATTTGATTATTTGGTGTTACGTCTTGTTTTAATTACGTTTTTTTAGTAGTGCCTTTTATTTTGAGAAGATTTAGGTATATACTTTACTTTTTTCATGAATATTTGTTTGTATGAAAATATATAATTTTTTGGCTTGCGACTTCTAATTTTAAAGAAAAACTTTTGTTTCTTTTGTTCACTATTCTAAAAATGTAATTGACTGTTTAATCTTTAGTTAACTTACGAATGAATCTGTACAAGTCTAAAATCTAAGCACGATGACTTAAACTTTGCTTTGGCGACGGATAAAATCAAAAAAATATTATCACTAGTGCTTGCGCATTGTCATTTTTTGCGTTCACTGGCTTTGGTTGGAAGGTGTCCTTGTATCTTGATACCAGTATTTTATTTTGGCCACGATGTACTCGTAGTCTCTGACGGCGAGTCCTGTTATAGGAAATTGCAAAGACGGAAGACATCCGCCGTTGGTAAAGGGTAGTCAGTCATCTGCTTCCATGCCTATGAGTTCGGCCTGCATTCGGCCCTTGTAGCGACAGCAGATTGTCATGCAGAAGATCCTCAATGCAAGCCTGAATTGCGGACTCATTGTGACAATTATTATGGATTTCCAGAAGGAGTTGAGGAATCCGATCCAGACGATGCCAAAGTGGAGGAAAGGATGGGTCAGTTTGACGCCCATTATGTATTCGTAGATTTTCACGCCTATATACGGAGTCCACGAAACCCAAAAAGCAATTACCAAGACGAAAGACATAATGTGGCTAGGGTTGGAGAGGTTCTCGGAGAGGGCCGTTGCATATTCCTTGTCGTGGATGGGGACGCCGCTGCGTAGTTTTTTCATCATTGTAAAAATGTAGGTGTAGGTGTATATAATGGTAATCAAACTGGGGCCTAGGATCAATATAGATAGGGTGGCCGAATATGCAGCCATGTTGCCCCAATCGAGCATGCAAATGTAAGCTTCTGCGTCGAATAATGGTTTTTGGAAGCCCAGCAACGGCGGACAGCACATCATTGCCGCCGAAATCCACGTGAAAGCCATCCAGCACTGACATCGCGTCTTCGTTTGAATAGTTTCATATCTTAAAGGTTTCCTAGCAGCTAAGTAACGATCGACACTTATCCACATGAACGTGTACACTGTTACAGCCCACAAGGTCACCTCTAAGTATCCAACTACTCTACAGAGAATATCGCCGTATACCCAATTTTGCACTAACGCTGGATACACAGACAAAGGAACTATAAACAAGCCGCACAGCAGGTCCGCTACTGACAAAGACAGCAAATAGCAATTGATTACCTCGGATGGACCTGAAACAAATTAATTGGAAAATGTAAGCATCTTATTTGTCGTCCAGTATAAATATGCTTACCTCTGAAATTCACGAACGTAGCTATGATGAGTACATTGGTGACGACGATCGCAAGACTCATGATGAGTATAATCCCGGCTTGGGTAAGCGATTCCAAGGAGAAGACCAGACTGTTGTCATCGTTGGAGTCATTTAGGATGATCATAGTAGATATGTCTCTCGTATGAAACATGACCACCTACAGGTCCCAACAATTCAAAACTCTCGCTCTCTCACACACTCGCTCTCTCATACACTGTATGTGTATTATTGTCGGGTAAACTCTCCACTTTCAATTATCTTCCGTTAATCATATTAAATCCATCTTCGTTAATAACATTCAAGCAGTGATTTCCTCCAATCAAATTCTCCATTGTATATCCAAACGGAGATCACCTCCTACTGCTACCAGCCCCGAACCTGATTTTTGTATGTTGCGATAGTCCTGAAAATAATAATAGAATGTTTAGTGTTCGCTCGTGGTGAAAAGTAATACACATTTTCCATCAGACAACTTCTCCGCGGGAAATTTTATTGCAGGAACCCTAATAAAACAGTTCGGTCCCGTTCGCTGCATTTAATGCTCAATAAACTTTGCGCGGCGTTACATAATTCAGGGAGGGCTGCAATTTTTGCTCGCTCCTTTTGCATTTGCTACATACACTTTATATAATGCGCAGTTTCCATGACCTTGCATAACGCCGTCACCCGCAACATTTAAATTTGCTCGAATATTTACAAGTATTTGAAATTGCCTGATCTTAAGATTCTCAATTAATACTGTAAAATCAAACGTTTTAATATTTCTAAACTTCTGTGTTGCAAGGTTTTGAAGAGAGGGTTTAAGTTTTCTGACTGCTACCATTATTCTCGTCTGCAGAATCAATACATTCAGTAGCCCACGCATATAAATTGCAGCTCTTTAAAATATCTTCTGGCCTCGTCCCTTTGTTTTTCAAGGACTTTTGAAGTACTTACAGCAAATTTCCTCGTTTCTTGTCGTCCTACACACAGTTTTTGTTTTTTGCGTTGCTGTTTGGAATCCTATTTTTCAATTAAAGTAATTTAATAGCCTGGAAGGTGGTATAAAGTCATTTTTTTTATATATAGAAATATTTAATCAATTCATGTGATATTTGTAACACTACAAAACTGTTAACTTTGATTATGAAATAATAATTATTAAAATTGTTAAAGGAAATAAACGTGTTTTTTAGCTCCTGGTGGACTTATACCACTTATATGTTAACATATTTAAAAAAAATAAAAACAAGAGTAAATTTAATCCATATTTTTATAGACATTTTTAATGTAAAAAATAATAATTAAAATGAAGAAACGTTGTAAATACACAAATAATCAAGTTTATTAAGAATTAATTTCAGTTATATTAAAAAATAAAATATAAATGAACAATTGTAAAATGTAATTATTTATTTAAGATAACTAAAAAAATAAAAAAATATTTCTCTTTTACAGTTAGCATAGTGAACTAACTATTCATGGTAAATAGTTGGTATGCATGGCAGTAAACTCATCATCGTGCTATATTTCTCTCTTGTTTTTGGTTTTAACGTTTTACACAGTGGCAAGATAGTATTTTACTGAGATGTTTGGGTCTTCCTTGATTTTCAAATAAAAAATTACTTTAATACTAATTTTCTAAAAAAAATGTGCTTTTTTAACCTCATGCTTAATAATAATATTTTACACCTCCATTTCTTTTGACTTTATCTTGTTTACGATGTTGTTTTTAAGCTATTAGCTAATATCTGCAGTGCACATTGAAGTCGTAATAATCAATAATAATTGCATTTAGAAAATTGTTATAAATTATGATTAATAAAAATGGACTTATACCACTTTCAAAATTAGTGACCACTTTAGATTAGTTTATCAACAAATCGTGCTCCACATGGTGAATGTATAAAATATAAAGTGATATCTATATCTAACTAAAATTACCAATAATTGCATAGAAAAATAAGATCTCAAAATATTTAGTTTTTCATAAAATATTTATTTTTTCAATTTATTTATTTTATGACAATTAAGTTAATTGGGAATATCAACATGTATTCATAATAATTATTGTCTGTTCGCGTTTCATATACATCGCATATAGTACATACGAATTTATGGATCAATTATTAAATATTTAATTGTTATTTTATAATCATATTTTGTTTATAAATATGAAATATATTCTTTGTTAACATGAATAGGTAAATACTTATTGTCTCAATTATTACTAATGAGCAATAACTAGCTATTTTTAGATAAGTGATCTTTGATATACATATTAATCTAAGGAAGCACTTTTAAAAAACAATAGAATTTCATATGTAATTGTTCATTGAGATTTCATTTAATTCTAACGAACACAATAAAACGATTGATTATATAGCCAAAAAAAGTAGTAGTATTTGTAGTAGTCGTATTTCTTAGACCAAAATCTTTCAGAAAATATAAATTTAAATAAAAATAATAAGAAACATCAGCAGGTCCGCTGAGTTTAGAGATTTCAGAGAGGGGTGCTTGCTTCGATGTTATATAATTATTTTAAAATAGTGATTTTATATAATTACTAAGTATAATAATGAAAAAATAATAATATTTTATTTGTAATATTTATTTTAAAATTACGATGTGCCAAATTAATGAGCCTTCTGTTGCGTTACTTACTTTTGTTTTAATATTTACCAGCAAAGGCAATAAAACATATGCCTTCCGAATATGAATCCAAATTTGTTAATTCAGACATAAATCCTTTGACAAGTCAAGCAAAATATCATCGTTGGTTGGTGATAAATTTATATATTACCAGTTATTATAAGGATAACTCACAATTTTGTGCTAACAAGTTTATTATTTGGAAAACTTTTGTCAACATTTTCGTGAACTTAGACTATTTTGATTTGTAAAGATATCAAAAGATACAAAATTCTAATAATATTTTCGCGGCCTGTACCTTGTTAGGAATCACTGCTTTGCATTTATTATATGAATCCTAGTATGACATTTGATGGAGTGTATCCTCTTTTCTTGCTTATTATTTTTTTTCACATAAAACACATATATGATGATTATATTTTTTCGTTATTTTCTTATTGGCCGCTTGGTTTTCCTCCAAATTAACCAATCCAAAATTAGGCAACTTTTACAAATACTTGTAAATATTTCATTTTGTAATTATTAAAATAATTATGATATATAATTTTATATGTATAAGACAATCACTGCTTACTAATAGCTTCATAAACCTTAGTCAAACCATTAGTCAAATTTGCCTGAACTATTGGTGTATTTAAAAAAGTTATATATAATATTTACAATTTCTCTGCCGCATGCTTTAAATGCGAAATGCTTTATTTCCAGACTTTGTCCCTGTTATTGCTGTTGACATAATTGAAAAGTTGTTCAAAGTCTAGGGTGAGAAAACAGTTGTCGGAGTGTTTAGTAAATTTGTATAATTCAGTGTTTCTCGTAACAGAGGCGAAGTTTTGGTGAATAAAATCGAGATAAGTTTCAGTTGACGCAAGACAATGCGATAAATTCTAGGACCGCTGAAACCTCTGCAGTTGCCGCCTCCGCCGTTTTTCTTTTTTGCATTAATTAATGATGCAAATGAGTCCCGGTGGCCGAAGTGTGTCGATAATAAATTCCCCAGGAAAAGTTCAATTAAACTCGCGTTCCAGTCGGCCGTAAATTTCGAGTTTTTTTATGTTTTCCTTTTCGGTGTAATTATCGCGATTATATGGACAGGAAACAACTTTCAAGGGCACTGTTTGTTCGGATGTGTGTTATATAAGCATGTTAGCAAGGTAGAGTAAGGAAACAGTGGACGAGCAAAAAGCAGACACACAGAGAGAGAGAGAAGTGGTGCATTCGAGTGGGAGAAAAGAATGCGGGGCACGCGAAATAACGATTTATTTTCTTTGGGGAGTTGGGAATTTTCTCTTTATTTTGTTTGTGTACGTTTCGACAGGAGGTCAAATAGCGAAACCGGAAGCTCATATATACCGTGATTATATTAAGTTATAAAATTGATACGTCGCATATTTTTGTTGATAAATGTGAATTCATTAAGTAAACTTTTCAATAGCCATTAATTGAATATACTATTTAAAAACATATTGGATTGTTCGAAAAATAATTTCATAAATGCGAGGAACTATTGGAAATAATCTTCACTCAATCTCTCACTACTTGTTTTTCTGCGATATTATGTTTTCTTGCATATTTTAGACTGTCGATTGTTACAGTACAGTATTTAGTATTATTTGTTTTGGTTATACTGTCAATTTTCGATGTTTAATGCTTTCTTATTTCTAGAAATGAAAAAAATCAAAAATTATATTTGGAGTAAATGCCGTAAGCGAAACTGCGACGATCTTGATGACAACCAGATTAAGATGTTAAAGAACAGTTTGCATATATTCTCGATACGATATTTGGGTGGTTACACGTAAATTATTTCTCAAATGAGTTTTTTTGCTCTGAAAATTATGAAAGATGATGGAAAGTTATTTAACGGTGCATTATTTAATAAAATTACTTTCCGAACAACTTTCCGAGTTTGAATAATATTCAGTTTAAATCAGTTTACTATGTGATTTTTACAAAACTCTCGGAGGGTAAGGTCAGAGTATAGATAATACTCGCATTGCAAGACATCACTGTTTGCATACAAGGAACCACTTATCGCTTCTTTTATCACTATATAATTCTAAACAATAATAAATTAGTTGCACAGAAATACAAAATAGCATAAATTGCAATATCAATTTACTCGAAATCCAAGGTACTAAATGTATGTTTATATAATTAAACTAAAATTAACGTAGGTTTATTGAGGTTTATTGTAAAATTAAAATTGTATATTGTGACAGGGAAAGGGTTAAGGTTATTATATGCAATGAAAACAAAATGAGTATTTTATTTGCATACAAATATAAAACGTTTCTATGGAATTAAATAAAAAACAAATGAAAACGATTATTTCATTATAGGATTGTATTTAAATAAAAGTGTGCATATTATTCTCTACATAATTTTCACGTAGTTTATGTATCATTAACAAACATACATAAATTAAGGAATAATGTATATTCATAAGTTTTTATTTAATAAACCTTTATAAATTGCTTTTTTGTTATGTAATTAATATTTGCGTTGTTCTTGGAATTTTACTATAATTTACCGTGTTTTTCTGCAACCATATACAATTGTAATGGCGGGTAATGGAAGCCTACAATATCCCGGACTGTTTCAAACTCGACTAATAGAGGATATAAATATAATCTGCACAAAAATACATCGTATAGTCGTATAAAAAAAATTGTGCATTAATTTTATTGAATTTACTTTTATTTTGCTCAATTAAAATTGAGTTTGATTTGAAATTTTTAATCCGGACTGATCGAAGCATCACTATACATTGAT